AAGGCGGGTGGGACGCTTGACGCGCTGTAATACATTATTACTGAGATTGGTGCTGTAAACACATACGCGAACGACAAGTCGAGGGTTGGAAGTGGGGGACGAGCGGGTGTGTGCGGGGCATTGAGTTTTACGCGCGGACGTAAAATTCTGTCGGAGCTCGCGAAACTCGAGCGAGGAAATTAATTCGCGCGCCAGTTAGCGCATCGCTTTCTCTTCTCGAGTTCCTTTTTTTATTTTGCAGCTTTTTTCTCTCTCTAGCTTCCATCTATTAGCACGATTGTAGATTTTGCCAGGGGTCGTGTGTAGTCGCTGGACGTTTAGTCAGACTGTAGTCGATGGGGTGGAAAAATTGAAAGTTTATGAAGTTTTGGACTGTACAATGTTCCTTGGGATGTGCTTTATGGACATTTACCGATGTATCAGTTTTCGCCATTAGTCTAACGAAGATTTCAATTGATTGTGCTGAAAGGTAATGAGAGAGAAAATTGCATTTTTTTTTATTTACGAAAGAGTTGCGTTCCCTGACCTGAAATAAACATTGGATCGAAAAAGTACTTCAAACATTTCACGACATTTATTTCGTGATTGGAAAAACGTAATTCATTTTGATCAAGTTTTAATCAAGTTTTTAATTACATTTCACTGTTAATCATTTTCGAAGGTTAAATTGGAAATTTCGTCGCGAATGTTACCGTGGTATTTCAATGAAAAATTCATCAAACTGCCAACGTATTTTATGGCTGACTTTAGAAAATTATTTTTCCATTAACCGTAAATTTGTCGATTTGTGACATGTGTGGTCACACAAAATGTTGTCTTTGTTATCAAGAGGCCATTGTATGACCAAAATCGCAATTATTTTTCTTTGTTTACTCTAGTGGGACGAGCTTCTCTGTTTCAAAAGTCACACTGCATCAGCAAAAAAACCATTCAAAGCAACCATTAAAAACCCCAATCTCCAAAACTCGTAAATTATTAAAGATGCTCCACATATTTATCGGTGTGAAAATTCATACATTTGTCGAACGGGAGGTCTCTAATCGAGCGATGCGCGCGTAAACGGATCGCGCAATCTAACCACTGCATGTATAATATAATATAAATTGTGCTGACCAGGCAATAACTTTTGCTAACTAAGCTAACCACGTTGGCGCTCGGTTGCTGCTGCGGTAGATTATATACCTACGCACGAGTGCATAGATATTATATATACACCTTGGATGGCCCGTGAAACTGACAACATCATATTTCAGAACTCGCGATAATTAGGTCAACTACCTCGCGTTATACGTACCCCCCCGATATCCGTTTACAACGTCACCTCCGCGCCAAACTCATTTTCGTCCGTAACCGTAAAGAGTGAAAAAAGGGGGAGGGGGAGAAAAAAAAAGTCATCTCTCCTATAACTGAATGGAGACGGAACCCAATGAATATCCTCGAAGCGCGAGCAAAAAGGCGCACAGCGGCGCGAAAAGCTCCGAGAAACAAAGGCACAAACATCGCCCGTCGAAACTCCGTCAGCAGCTACAATGACCACGAGCAGCCCGGTAAACGAGGTTCTTCTCGAGCCGATTGAAAATTGGAAAAAGTTTTCGCGGGCCAAATTACGGGGGGTGCACGGGAGCGATCGGTCGACGACTGCCACTGAGCTGCACCAAGTTTCGAACACTGTCGAGTCGTACGTTGTTGTTGTCATCGACGATAGCGCACGAGTGCCGATTGTAATATACAAGAGTTGCACAGCTCGGGTCAACAGCCGGCGACTCGATACATTAGAAAATGAAGCTACGGTCGCATGAATCACCCCGAAATGTTTTAAACGAAGAGGGTAAAAAACAAACAGACACCCCCCCGGTGTTTTATCGAACGGCATGAATCAAACGACACATGCACACAAGGGGCCATCGGGTCCAGCAGTAACGAGCAAAGATAAGAAATTCCTTGGGACACGTGTGGGTATGTATATATATATACATAAACGTGAGTTATCGGGGTCATCATAACTGCGCTTGGCAAGATGGCCTTAATAACTGTACGCATAAAAGGAGGGGTAATGTACATTTGATGAGGGTCGTATCGCGGTGCCCACGTGAGTCTGGATATTAACGGCGATCGTTAAATGCGTATACACACGGCGGGCCCCGAAAAACACCAGCATATCTCGGGAGATTCTTAAGCGAGTCGCGGGTGAGATAATTCATACGGTGTGTTAACGATACGGAGCGACGTAATATTGGCCGCAACATGCGACTTCTGGCTCTCCCTGCTCCGCCAGGACACGTTACACTGGGGGGTTGGGGGGGGGCAAAGTTTAATCAGCAACGACGCGCGAAACGTGATCGACGTTTCCGAGGCTCGCGGATGAACGCTCCCGCACTTTTATTTACTTGATCGAGGAAATCCTCGCGCTGCTTTCGTACGCACGAACGCGCTCGTCCTCTTTTGTGTACATATGTATTTGGTTCGCATAAATAAATCCAGCCGAGAGATTATGCGTGCCGCACGCAGGCTATCTTGGCAACGTTACACGCGCGAGCAAGGGCTTCCACTTTGGTTTATTAACGGGCACGATACTCCTGGATTAATACAAAGTGGGGAGATTGAGCACGCGAGCGAGAGCAGGTGGGTTGTCCTGCAATAACGGCGTCGACGAATTAACGGATTTACGTCGATTCCTGCGTATATGTATATATACCTACTTATGCGCGCGAGTAGATGAATGTCGTAAAGTGTGTGTATTTATTTATGTAAAACGAAGGTTCATTTGTAGTGTTGCTGGAACCGAGGAATCGATGTACAGAAAATATTTTTTGCAGTGGATTGTTTTATGATTTGGAGTAGAGACAAGGGGTAAAAGTAATATTGTTCGTGAGATATATCCAACGATTAATGTTCATTTTATCTCAAATTAGTCCAATTTTCAGCTTATCTCCGATTTACTTTTCTCGATGTAAAATGAATACTTGTTGAAAACGAAGTAGGGGATATCACGATAAAATGCTGCTCTCGTCAACAAATTTGTATCGATGATTTTTGATATTGCAGCTTCAAGGCTTTTGGCTATGATAGGTACTTACAACCACAACCGAACGGCATACCATAACTTTAATTGATCGACTCGCCGAGTGGTGTGCTTTTACAGGTATAGGCATGATGTTTAACGACGCGAAAGCTATATATGTGTATACATGCGCTCTTGCAAACTTCAAAGTTCGCGGAACCACGTCGACGGAGAAGCGCTTGAGCCCGAGAGGCCGATGTTCATCGTTAACATGTCGATTCATCAATTGACTATTACTATGCTGATGGGATAGCTGGGCGCACTCCTTGATTTAATGCCTCCCATTCGCAATTGCGCTCGTGAAAATATATGTATATATATATACCTTGTACGTACCAATGATGCCCAACTTTCGGCAATCATCTCCGATTACTTACAAATTTTATAAGAATATTCGATTACTACCTACATACCAGTGTCAAAGTGATTGACGCGTGCTTTTGCTATGATTGTTTGTGTATTTTTGCCAGATTGGTTTTGATTCCGGGGATACCCAACATTTCCCTGCGACATGATTGGTTATCGGATACTCTCCAGTATCGTGACAAATTACGTCATCCCGGGACCAAAAGAAAACAGCAATAACCCCTATGATGATTGCTTCGAAAAATTCAAACTTTTTTTTCATCCATAATGACTCCTGGCACTGCAATAAGGGGGGTGAGGGTGAAGAAACATACCCATTGTGAAAGTTTTAACGCGAAAGTGCGACTTTACGCGAGAGCGGAATGGATAATTAAATTTAGCCGGCGCTTAACGGGGCCCGCGTCTGCAGCTCCCCTATATGTTACGACATGGGCACCGTAAACTTGCTCGTTCCCGAAAAAGTTACATGAATATTGTCCGGCTGCGACAGTTAAACTTGCAGTATATACGCAGCCGCGCGAACAGTCCAAAGGAATCAGGGGATTAACGCGACGAGGCGCACAGAGCTACTTTTAACGAAGCGCGATTTCGTAGTTTTAACAAGTGGGACTTTCTCGCCGAATGCGGGGGAGATCTAATATCCGTTCGTAGCTGGTCGTAAACGAGGCGTTGGAATACCAAAACACACCAAAGTATGTACCCCCCCCAGAGAGAGCTCGTTTAACGAGCCACGGCACCTTCCGATCGTGAATATTCCCACACGAGTCGCATTATCGCGCTGGTAGATAAAACACTCGCGTTTTTCGATCCATCCGAGAACAGCTGTAGTATACAGTCTAGTACTGTACAAGGGTATAATATCATACAAGAGTACAAGCGTGTTCTTGCAACTACCACGGGCAGACTGTGGCTTTGCGCGCAAAACATTCGCAACCGTGTACTCGTGTTTTACACTCGGGACAAAAGCTTACAACTTATACCACAGCCCCTTACACCAGAGCAATGTTTTTCCATCGTGTTTATTTACTTTCGTGTGGCCGGTGGATTGACAATAATTATTTTGTCGTAAAACTCGAGCGTTTGACTCATCTCCAGGGGATAAACGTCTGTAGTCCTACACCGTTGCCATTGCGAATTCGTTTCGAATGAAAGAAAAAAAAATCTATAAGATCTTTATCATCGCGAGCCCCACATTTGTCCTTAATTTGCAATAATTCTCGAGGTATAGCTTGATGCCAGCATCAACCCTTTACGTTCGATCGTTTCCCGTAAAGTGTCAGTTGGCAAAAGCTGTTCCAACCAACCCGATAAGAAGCGAAATTCCGAGAGCCAAGCACTCAGATCCAGCGCTCGACCCCGTGAAATTTCATTATTCGTCGTTAAAAACATAACGGGCCATAACGCCGATGAAAATACCTCAATAGCCGCGGGTGTTTTTCGTTAGCTCCCAATATAACCTATATATACGTGCAGACGGCGGCAATGGCCTCTTCCCCACCTCGGTCGCCCCCCCTCGTAAATATAGAAATAACAAGGACCGCAGCTATCGATACAACTGTATATGTGTACTCACCCTCTGGTAATTGAAAGCCAACAGCAGGTACTTGCGGTCCGCCGAGAACTGGTGATAGAAGCTCGTGATGAGTGGCTGTAACAGAAAACACGGGGGTGGAAAAAATTAGCACTCAATCCTGTAAATTTGAGTCCTTTTTTTACGGTCGCTCGTATCGTATTTACTGTCGCGTCTCTGTGCTTCTACGTCCGACTTGAAGGAAAAAAGAAAAAGTCGCGCTGGTTTCGGAGGGGGTAGGGGCTTCGTAAAAATTAAACGACTCGGCGAAAGGGCCCCGTAAGAGCAACGCCTCTGCTACAGGTGTGCCAAAGTAGTCGGCCGCCTGAAAGTTTAACACGAGCCGAGGTAAGCGCGTGTTTGCGTACACGTGTAGAGGGTGCACGTAACCGCGAAAGCTCGGCCACGTGCTAAGGTACGCGCGTGTGGGTCGAGTTGTACGTAGCAGTTTTTCCGCGGTTAACGCGGATTGATTAAGGCAAATGGTAGACGCGTACGACTGGAGAGCGCGCCTGGCCGCAAAAAAAAAAAAAAAAATTTAAAAAAAGGAAGAGAACGGAGCTGGCAGGGTAAACGAGGTGGCTCGGGAGATTACACACGTGGATAATTTGGTATTTACCAAGAGATGTGTGTGCGTATACTCGCGGCTTTCCGTGTTTGCACGAGATTAGGTGCGAGAGGAGGTATGTACAGAGACAAACCTTACCACTTTTTAACGGAGAGAACAACTCGTGCGTAAGTAAACACTCGAGGCATGTACACATGTATCACGGAAGAGCGAGCGTGAAACACTTATCACGAGGCCGAGTTGTGCCAAGTACCTTGTGAATTATTTTCCGATTGCCCGGGGAGTGGGATGAAGTTGTTGGAAAAAAAAAAAAACAACACTGATCTACTTACTCGACGTAACGGAGATCGAGCGCGCGTGTATGAAAAAAAGGGGGTAACGAGTGTGCTTCACGGTTATTAGTGGAAAATGACGGCTCCGTTGCGCGCGTTGGGGTAATAATTGGCGCGCCACTCGAGGGAGGGACGACAATGGTTGTGCACACAACCGCGATTGATGATCTCTCGCGCGCATAATTCAAGTCTCTTGGGAGTAACGAGCTGTCGGGGGGTCAAATTCAACGGGGTGATTATTGTCAAAAGTGCGCGGTTCGTCCTGTATACATACGCACGCACACTCTCGCGCTCTTGATTATGCAGTTCACGCGGTAAACGGCATGGAGGTAATTTATAATTTAATGACAGGTTGTGTGACGCAGGGTGCACTGGAAAGTCGATAAAAAAAAAAAAAAAAATACAAGCGAAGTAACTCACGATGAGATCGGGTAATTTCGTTGTTTACGGAAAAGAAGGTCCTATGAATACATCATAGGAGCTTTTTTTGAAATTTCAGTTGGAGAAGCGTTACTATTTCATTGAAAAAAATTAACTTTTACTTTGATGTCCCAATTGAGTTCTAGTTGATAATTTATGCAGATTAACTTGCACTTGGAAAAAACATTAAATAGGAGAAGAAATAAGACGACTCGCAGGAGAGTCATAACAGGAATAATAATAATAAAAAAAAGCATAATAATGAAGTACGGGACACGAGGGATAGAAGATTGACCTGGGTTTAGAAATTGAAACGCTCATTAATGAAATTGCCCGAAACGGTGGGGTAATTAACAGAATTGCTTCACGAGTGACGTCAGTTTGGAGGTCCGTAGGTAGTTATGGAGTCATGTGTACGGTTACATGCTGCTAGAGGAGTTTGCTGGCGGTGGTGTACGTTGCTATACCTGTATATAATATTATGTGGGCCGTATAATCTGCCGAAGCAGTAGCTTATCGCGATCTCCGTGCAAACTGTAATAATATTTGACCTCACCTGCTTCATCTGCCCTCCTGTATGTGTCAAACAAACGTGATAACTTGCCCCTATATCCGTAATTACTTTCATGAAATTGCAAAGTACCAAAGCTCACAGTAAATCCAGTATTCTCGAAAATGTGACTATTGGATAAACGGATTAAAGAATACGTTTAAAATCAGTGATTAATTGATAGTCATCGTGTCTCAACATGTTCGACTTGACAATATTATCACATGCTATACATAAATATTCTGCTAACAAACCGTACTAATTTAGACTTGCAAAAATTTTGATTTAATAAAACGTAACACTTACAGAAAATGTTTCTATCAATTCGGTTGATTATAAAAATAAAACATTTAAAAAAAAAACGAAAAACAAAAGTAATTAAGTTATTTTCAAGATATTGTTTGATTCCAAGAACAGCTAATAATACAATAAATAATGACAAGTACTAAGGGCTATGCTGTTCAAATTGACTTTATTTTAAAAAACGACGTTTCGACTACTCCAAGGCAGTCCTTATCAAGTCAAATATTAAACAAAAATCGCAGAGTGTCGTCAATGTGAGATGTTTATTCTACTCAACATATATATCATATATTGTACTATATCGCAGTTGAGTAGAATAAACATCTCACATTGACGACACTCTGCGATTATTGTTTAATATTTGACTTGATAAGGACTGCCTTGGAGTAGTCGAAACGTCGTTTTTTAAAATAAAGTCAATTTGAACAGCATAGCCCTTAGTACTTGTCATTATTTATTGAAGTTATTTTCAACTAGTTTCTATGTACATTCAAAGCACACAATTCATTTTTTCTTACAGCTTATCTCGCCTCGATTCAACAAGTCTCATGAAAAAAAAAAAAAAAAAAAAAAAAAAAGAGAGATACGTCTTCCAGAAACTCTCTATTAACGTTAGGGTAAAAAAGCAGCAGCAACTATATACATCGGTAAGAGGGGCCGGACGTTAAAAAACAGAGTCGGTTACTTACGGTATTGCTTATGTCGAGGACCTTACGTCTCTGTCGGGAAGACGCATTGAAGATCATCAAGTTGCCGCCCTCGTCCTCGTAAAGTATCTCGTCCCCTGGAAAAACGAAAAACAGGGGATGGAAAATGTCCACGATTATTCACAAAGCTAAAGGTATACTCCAGTGCAAACTTTTACTCTCTCTCCCTCTCTCTCTAACCCTCGTTTTCTTCGGTCGATCCACCCTTAAAAACACATAATATAATTGATACGCAGCCGTATGCGCGCAATTGCTTATTCAACCCCATGCACGTACGTTCGCTCGCTCGTTTTGATACTCGCTTACCAGCGATGACAAATACAGCCGGGGGAGAGATATGTAACCACATCTAGCTGAGCTCCTTCCCTCCCCCCCCCCCATGGATAATCCACCCTTCTAAGGTGCGGCTGATTCAGAGTCGTCGTCGTTTCGCTTTCATCTCACCCCCACCCCGAGCCAGTAGCTCTGCCGGAGCGTGAAATCAGCACGCGGCACTGGATTCCCATGCAAATGTCGAAACATCAATGCATGACGTGGGCGCGCAGTATATATACGTACATATACAAGCATCGCCTCTGGCTGGCTGTCGCGTGTGCCCGTTTCGGCTTATCCGGATATTAACAGGTTACGTAATCCCCCTGGTCGCGTGCGTACATGTGTGACGGCCCGGCTTCCCGCGTGAGTTTACTGCACTAATAACAGTATATACCCTTTACGCGTGTACGTACATGTATATACACTCGGGGGATGGGGTTACTCGTGTGTCTCTCGCGCTCATTTGGCATGTATGATATGCCGAGTGCGGGGTGTCGAGAGCGAGAAAGTTAATCGAGCGTTGGTTGTCGCGCACCAGTTTAAGGCCACGGCCTTTGACGTGTGGATGATGCGGGTTGTCATTGGCTAATTCGTGTGTTTCCCAACGAGTATACACACGGTGATCTTTTTCGTGGGACCAGATTTTTCGATTTTACCGTGATATGGAAGCTTACATTTTGACTGGTTGGTTGGTCCCTATAGTGGTGGTAATCAGCATAGTATCTTAATGCAAAGGAAACGATAACCATTTCTTACACCACAACTAAAAGTCCCTCCAAAAGCATTATCATGTCATGCTCTGGGGGTGGAATTTATGAATGATCCCAAATGTGCCCAACTTTTTATGAGATGGGAAGCCCTGGAGACCGAGTTTACGATGGAATCGCTATAGATTTAACGTGGGAGCACTCGGTGAATGTCAGGGGCCATAAACAGCCATTGAAGCTCATGAAGTGAAGCCCACAATGATGATGCCCTTGAAGAGCGGAAGATAGGTAAGTCGAACACCCATCTCCCTCTATATATACGTAAGCGTCGAAATGCTGGTCTTCTTCTTCGTCCCCGGCTTGTGATCGTTTCGCGGGATCACCTTTTTTATTTTACCAGCACTAGATGTTTAGGTACGTGTGAGCGTGTGTTTTTTCGCCGTTCCGCGTGTATGGAGAACGAAAGGGAAAGAAAGGGTAGAAGAAGAAGAAGAAGAAGAAGAAGTGTACCATTAAGGCAAAAAGCCCCGAGCGAACTCGTTAAATCTGAGAGAGCGTTTTTCGCCACTCGGCCATTGTTCTTCTTTGCTCCCTTGGATTTTTCCTTGGTTTTCGACTTTGCACTTGCTTTTTTCTTTTTTCGTTTGTCTCTTTCCGAAATGACTCTGCATTGCGAAACTGTATATATTTTTGTTTCCCAACTCTAGACTTGCAAAGTTCTCCCCCCCCCCTTTTTTTTCGTTTAACCGTGCACTGTGTAAGTTTTGGTTTCAATTTCGTGAAAGGATAACAATTTCGTAACTTTTAATTACAAAGTATTATCACCCAACACGTTCTACTGCAGTAACTATTGTACTTTTTAGAGCAGGTGTTGCCTGGAGCTCCGCATTTTTCGCCGGTACTTTTAAAAGGTTTTCCTGTTCACCAATTCAATAAACTACGTTTCAGGATTATACGTTTGAGTGATTGAAAAAACCCCTTTTTCCGCTTTGACATCTTCCATTTGGCCGTAATAACGAATGAGACATCCATTTGTTAATCCTCTTTTGGATTGGCTTTGGACTGATGTTTATTGATCGTAAAATCTAAATTTTTCAGTCTGTTTTTTTTTTTTTTTTAAATTATCTTACTTAAGCATAAAAAGTAATTCAAGTATCAATGGTACGTAAATTTATTCTTGAAAGAAAAATAACATCGAGATTTTGGGTAAAAATAATACCTTTCGTGCAACTACTTCCGTTGCCAGGGAGAAAAATCGAGTTCACGTCATAAAATTAGGCATCCCCGGAATAGCTCCTCGCTTTGCAAGCATACCTTACACGTATAAATCGCCAGCGTCTGCTATCATTATTTGACGTCAAGAAACACCCAGAGGGATTTTATCAAAAGCCCGTAACGCGAAAGAGCGTCAGAAGGGCCATCGATCAAATTGAATGAATTAACAACACGACCGATGATTTTGTTTACACGTTACAGCTCCAAACGACACTCTGCTGATTACTCTTTTTTTATTTTTGCAGTTGGTTGGTGCACCAAAAATAATATAATTTCATTTACAGTCCGCAAATCACAAGTTTTGTGTACATTACATGCACGTACAAAGTCTTGGGTGGAAATGAAAAATACCTGGAAATCAGGTGCCCTATTAGACCAAAACACCTCAAGTTTAATCTTAATCCGATCTCGGAAAAAAGCACACTCGCAACGGCTTATCGTTAAAAAAGCCCAACAGTTGTTCACGTGGTCTCAACTTCTCCTTTTCCCTTCAACTAAAAAAATTAAAAAAAAAAAAAGGGAAAAACGACCAGAGAGGGCAAAAAATCCATTAAATGCAAATCGCGAAATTCCCTCATACATTTTCATACAGAGCAGCGAAGGCAATGGCGTGGCAGCAATTATTATACCTCTGATCCTTTAATTATACCTACGAACGACTTTCTAATGCCAGCGAGTCACGTAACGTATGTATATAAATCGAGCAAACGGAATATGTATGTGTACATGATGGCGTAACGAGGCCACTGTTATTTGTACTCGTCGCCGAGTTCGCGTGAGTCGGTGTGAGTGCGTGTAAATTTCGTCTCTCTCTCTTTTTTTTTTTTTTTTTTTTTTTTAACCCTATAGACACCAGCAGCAGAGCATGTACATCGTACAGTAGAGCTCGAATAGGCCACGGTCAATTTTGCTGCAACGCTGGATAGAGATGGTAGCACTTGACGCGACACGAGGGGCTGAGGGACGACGGGCGAAGGGCTCGGCCGTGTGTTGTCTCTAAACGCTTCGGATAAATCTTCGCTCGGGAGTTTTTCACTCAGACACGTGGAAAACCTTTTTTTTTCGTTTTTTTATTTTTTTTTTTTATTTCGTTTATGTTTACTTTTTACATCCGACGTACGAATACATAATACCACGACAAAACACCAACTATTAGAGCAACGCGGACTGCGCGATGATTGATTACAAATATTTGATGAATTGTATTGTGTTTACATTTTTTTCAACCCATAGACTTTGAAAAACGATAAAGTGCGTGAAGTTGACAAGTTAGTTTCAAAGCACGAAACAAAGAGTCCCCGCAGGTCACAGGCAGCGAAAGCATCGAAGTTTCAAAAGGGAGAAAAAACTAGCCTCGCAAAAGCGATCGTACAAAGGAATGTAAGGGCAACAATCGAAGGGCTGCACTGGACAAGAAGTTACACGACGTTGGGATGACGGTTGGACTGAGGGGTGCGAAAATTACTTGTCAAAAACTGCGAAAATACTACACGAGTAAATAATCATTGAATCACCTCGCCTGTAGATGTACATGCCGATTCGTCCGTCGGTGTGAATAATATATTTTTCAAGCGCTTGAACCCCTTGTGCTCGCCGAAACAAAAGAAAAAGTCGAAAATAAAGGAGGGGGAGGGTGAAGAAAAAAAAACGTTACGAGGGAGGATAGAGGCGAGCGAGCAACAAAAAGAGCTTTGCGAACGCGACGCGAATAACAAAGGCAAGCGCGACGGTAAATCACCCCGGCGCTTCCCCCCCCCCCCCCCCTCCAAAACTCCCAACGCGCGATATGTTTTCCTTTAAAAATTTTCACCGGCCCAGCTTAGCCCCGGAAACGAGTTCGAGGGGCTCTCGAGAGTTTGTCGCCCTCCTATATACGTCCAATGTCCACCCCCGAAAGTACGCATACACACACACACATACGTGCGCGCTGTACGTGAAACTAGAGTGCACGTACGCAACGTAGCCCGCAGCGATTATACCCGAGTGGGCTCTGGGGCCCTGCTGTTACCCGGTGATAACAATGATCCCGTATCGAGTGTACAGGTTGACTGCGTGAGCTGTGCTCTCCTGTTTTCATATGTGACTTTTTTGCACGGACATTTCGAGTGAAAGGAAAAATCTGAAAACTCGACGGGTGCGTGTAAAAAAATACACCAGAAACTCGAGAGCGAATTCGGTCGTCCAAGTAAACGCGTGTACTATACCTACGCGTAGGGGTAGCAGTTTCTATCAAGAGAAAACAAAGCTCGCAGCAAGTTCCGAAAAGTAAATCCCGGTGGTGCTCCTTCGCGTCCTCCCCGAAAATTGGTGTAATGGAAAGCGGTCGAGAGCGGATGGAGGGAGTGGCTGCAAAAACACGCGCAAAACTATTTAATGGAACATTAACGCGACGGGGTGGCGCTGGCTTTAAAGCCGATCGCGATCGATCGATACTCGATGTACCTACCGCAGGCGTGGCAATGCCGGTGTTAATTTATTACGTTCGACCGAGCCCCCTTCCACTTACCACTGCGGCTGAATGGACTTGTCGTTCGATCAACTTTTGTTCCGCCCGAGTTTCTCGCAAATGTATTTGCAACGCGCCGCTGTGTGTATACTGTTGTAGCACGTTCAATGGAACGATTTGTTGGGTAAATATTTTTTTTTTTTTTTCTTCCTATTCTAGTGTTACATTGCGCTCGAAAGCAATTAACGGAAGTATTCAGAGACGGACAGAGCGCCCGTGGGATTTGCGAAAAAAGGAGGAAAGAAAAAACTACGACTTGTCGTCTTTTATCGGC